AATGTAAATTTGCATAGTTTCCTCTGTGTGGAAGCATCTTTGACTTTGTAGTGAAACTGCTGCTACTGTAGAGTCAGTTTTTATGGAAAGGAGGGGGGGGACTTTCCATGTGCCTGGATGCAGTTAAGAATATTCGGGGGTTTTAGCGATTTTTTTTGCAATGTTATAATTAGATACTGAAGTTGGAGAATATTTGAGGTTGCCTGTTCTCACATGTCTTCAGAACCACTCCAGTTTCTTGTAGCCTTTGTTTTGTGGTGCAGTTGATCCCCAGTTGTGCCCTGTTACTGTAGGAGATCATAGAATCCCACACTGGTTTGGCTTGGAAGGGACCTTAAGGCCCATCCCGTTCCACCCCCTGCCATGGGCAGGGACACCTTCCACTAGCCCAGGCTGCTCCAAGCCCCATCCAACCTGGCCTTGGACACTCCCAGGGATGGGGCAGTGACAGCTTTTCTGGGCAACCTGTGCCAGGGCCTTCTCACCCTCCCAGGGAAGGATTCCCTCCCAATATCCCATCTATCCCTGCCCTCTGGCAGTGGGAAGCCATCCCCCGCCGTTCTGTCACTCCAGGCCCTTGTCCAAAGTGCCTCTCCCTCTTTTATAAGCCCCCTTTAGGTACTGGAAGGGAGAGGAATATTTGCTACAGGTTTCCAAGTGTAAAAACTTAAAACAGCTTCATATCTCACTGACCAGAAGACCAAGGAGCATTCCCTTAAATTCCTGGGGAAGAAAAGACCTAACTTCGTGAAACAGCGAAAACAAGTTACATTTGTATGGAAGGATTCCAAATGCATTGGGAATCTTCAGCAGTTTATTTCCTAGAGGGTTAGTTGCATACTTTGGTGTGTGCTCAGATTTCATTGTTGAAGTGAGAGCAACCTGGTCTACTGGATGATGTACCTGCCCATGGCAGAGGGTGGAATGAGCTGAGCTTTAAGGTCCTTTCCAACCTGAACCATTCTGGGATTCTGTGATGTGATGATATGACTGCCATGAGCTTAAATGGACTCTAATGCTGGAAACTTGTTACAGTTAAATCTTCTGGAAGCGAGAAATAACAGTTAAGAATTACTCTCTTGTTTATTATTAGGATGAACTAGACTGGTCCCAGTGGTGCTGGACAGACTGTGCAGAGTTGGCTGTTAATGCAATCCTGGAGGATTCAGCAGCATTTGTTGCCCATGTTACTGCATTTAAAGGAAATGTTTCATTGTCCAGAATTTGTACGTAACAGTTAGTTTGTGATCCTGGCTGAGTGGCTGCCCTTGGCCTTACTTGAGGGAAGATTTTTCTGATGAACTGAGTTTTTCTTTTGTGAACAGGATGCACATGATTCCTAGAAAATTCCTAGCAGTGCTGGCTGCTGATTATGGCTGTGAGAACTACAGACTTGAGTGGAAAATTAGGAATTTACACTGTTAATGACTAAGTGTGAGATTACCTGTTTCATTGTGTCAGAACAGCAGCAGGGTAACAGTGCAGGGTGGGCTAAAAATCAGGGAAGGGAAGAAAGGAGAGGCTGGCAGAAGTTCACACCACAGCTGTGGCAGTGGGATGAACTTCTGTAAGAAATCAGACACCATTAGAGTCACAGAACGGTTTGGGTTGGATGGGACCCTAAAGATCATCTAGTTCCAACCGCCAGCCTTGGGAGCACCATATTTCCTTTTCCTGAAGGTCCAGTCTTGGCTCTGCTGCCTTCAAAGGCCATTTTCAGGGCTTCTCACCTACCAGCACCTTCGATGGGGCATGAAGCCTCTTCAGGAGGTCAATTTTTAAAATGCTGCTAATTTGCTGTTTAAGACCCTGCATATTTCCATAGAACAGATGTGTGGTTGTGTCCCAGGGGTGCTGGTTTGTGCTCGGAGCTGGCAGGGTTGGCAGTGTCTGGAGCAGCCGGGTTTTGCGAGCTCAGGTGAGCCGGGTGTGTTGTGTGTGGTGCTCCCTTGGCTGGAGTTGGGATGTTGTTTTTTATCCACCTTAACTCCAATCAATGCAGTGCTGGCGGCCTTTCATTAGCTGCTGCTGCTCCCATGGAGCTGTTGGGATGCAGAGCCACTGGCAGTCTGTAACTCGTGCGGGTGCCCCGGAGCTCAGCGGCGTAAGCTGATTGACTCAGTTAAGGCCCCAGCCTCTAACAGCAAATGCAATCAATAAATCTTTGTTGGTAAATAATTGCTATCGAACAGAGTTTTAATATAAATTTATGAGTGGTGTTTTATCACAGCTTGAGGCTACAGCAAGCCACTGAGTGATGGATTTCAGATCACACTTACATTCATTACATTAACTTTGTAAGTTATTTAAAGCTTGTACACTTAACATTGCTTTTGGCTTGCAATGACCTCCTGGGAGTAGACGTAGCACACACATTACTAATAAAGAGCTGGTGGAACGTCCAGGCAGCTCCTCTGTTTGCTTTGTGTTCCTCCAGCAAAACCTGGGGAGGGAGGTCCGTGCACTCCAGTTGGAGCCTTTTTCCTCTGGCTCCTTAAAAATACAAGCTGGAGGAGTCTGGAAGAAGAAGCCATTCCTCTGTTAGACACAGAATTGCAATTTTGGAGGGAAGGTGGTAAAAAAAAAAGAAGTGTGAAATTGTTCCCGGTTTGTGTGGAAATTGGAGGTGTTAAATTCTCAGTGTTGAGTCTGGAGGCTTTGGGTCAGCTACACCCAACTGCAGATGGAAGACTAAGAAATGAAAGGTTTCATGCAAATTAGGAAAAATGATGTTATCAATTAATAACAACTTGAGGCAGAGATTATTTAGACAAAAAAAATGGGTATTTGGAAGTAGGAGATTGCCTGGGTCTCTTACTGCTCAGCTTGGGGACCAAAGGTGGGGTTTGCAGTGTGTTCTGTGTACGTGGGGACCTGTTTGGTGGGGACTGGGGACATGCCCAAGCTGCCTCTCAGTTGCCTTGGAGGTACCAGTGGTCAGTGGAACCTGTGGAACTCATTTCCCAGGCACGGTATCTGATGCGACTTAGACATAAAGTGACTGGAGCAAAAGGCTTTTTCTTTAAAGGAACATTTCTTGTCATATCAGGGCCATTTATTTTTTTTAAATTTAGTTAATGTTAAAGTGCATTTATAACTGATATAAACTCCGATTTTAAGACCATTTCTCCAGATCATTCTATAAAATTATCACAAATTGGTGGCCCTGGGGGGGGGAAATGTGGTTTACATGGGCTACTTCACTTTATAACACCAAGTTCTTGTATTCAGAGCAGTTTCCTCTCCAGGTACTTTAAGATACCTTTAATTCTCACATAATGTGAAAATGAATCTGTTTGCTAAAGGAATGCCTGAAGGAAATGGATTGGGAAGCCTGGTTTGTTAGTTAGGCACACAAATAGGTACATCATTCATATCTAATGCTGATTTGGATTTTTTTTTACATCAAGCACAGAATTTCACTTTAAAAGTATGGTGAAACCTCATTTTGAATAAATTTCTTCATTTAGATCCATAGCTAGAATGTCAGAATTCACACCTAGATAGTAGCAAAGCTTCTGTGTACTAAAAATCATGACCGTGTTAGGTGTTTACTATTTATTGAGTTTATAATTGGCATGAATTGATAATTATGGAAGTAATTACATGTTGTCTGTATGGCAAAGGGACAGTTAAAAGGTGTGAAGTATATAAACTTTAATTTGTTCGAAACTTAAAAAAAAAAAAAAAAAAGGCAGAGGGGGGAAAAAAAAAGATCACCATTGTGTTCCTTACTGCTTTTTTCGCCATTAAAAGGTCTGAAGAACAAACCAGTGCAGGGAAAGTGTAATTTTTGATCCCCACGGCACAGCACTAACTAGAATTGGGTCCCCCTGAACGGCAGCGAACGTGCTGCAGGTGAGGTATGAAAGATGGGAAAGGTGAAGCCACGGATCACCTCCTATAGACAAACAGGAGAGTCAAAGGCAGAAACAAGCTTTCATTTTTTAATAGAAGAAAACAACGTCTGTCCCCACTGGCACACAGTAATTGGGCTGTGCCGCAGGAGCTTCTGTGAGGAGGCGGTGCAGGAGCCCCATTCTCCTTGAAAAAGTTCCAGTTCTGGCAAGGAACAGCACAGGAGAATGAAGACGTGATCCCCAGGCAGCCGGAGAGTTGGGAGTTTGTGTCGCCGTGTAATTCAGGGACCGAGCACGAGCTTCTCTCCACGGTCCCATGCACGGGTTGGGTTGAGTTGGGAAGGGTTCCTCTCTGAAGTTGTGTCCCAAGTGCCTGGCCAGGAGCAGGCAGGTGTGAGTGGGGCTTTTCCACTGGGGTTATCCCTGATGTTGCACAGGGAGAGTTGTTAGGTTGTATGGAGAGTGGTGAGGAACTTTAGCTGGAAGCTGTAACATCTGGAATTCTGCTTGCTCTGGAGGACTTCTACTTGGGCAGAGCTGGCCTGCGTCCCCTCCTGGCTTTGGGATCGGCTCTGCAGAGACTTTATAAAGCTGCAGGTTTAATGGGAAAAGAAACAGTAGAACTTGCTGTCAAGGCTTTAGCCTGCTTTGACAAGAACAGCTCTGTGGTAGTTGGAAGTACTGTGCTTTGTAGGGCATCTTTCTGTGTTCTGACTTCCCTTTATTTTAATTGCCTTGGCAAATGAGAAGGGAAAAACTTATGGGGATTAGAGAACTGAAGTTTGTGTTGGTTTAGATTCCTGGTTATGATTCAGTGAAGTGTCTGCTTGTATCCCTGGCACTGGTGTATCTGTGTCCATAGTGTCTCCACGTGGACATTCCAGTAAGACTTTCCATGACCAAAGTACTGTATGATTCCTTAGGAATGCCTTCTGGCTTGGTGTTGGACAGATTTTCCTCCTAAATGGCAAACAGTGAAGCTGCTGATGGAGGCAACGTGCCTCATGGGAGGGGCAGGGGAGGACGAGTAACTGCAGGGGAAAGTGTATCTGAAAATGCTGGCAATGGTCTCTCTTGCTGTGTCTTAATTAGGTGTGCATTGGCCAGAGAATATTTAACCTTTCCTCTCTGCCCTCCCAGGGAATGCTGCTGAAGAGGAGTGGCAAGTCTCTGAACAAGGAGTGGAAGAAGAAGTACGTGACGTTGTGTGACAACGGGGTGCTGACCTACCACCCGAGCTTACACGTGAGTACACCGTGTCTGGGGTGTTCAGCAGCACCAGGCCCTCAGCAAGCACTGTCAGACAGGGATTCCTTCAGCCCCCTTTGGTGGGGGAACTTCTTTCTCTCTCTTCATTCCCCTCCCTCTCAAAGAACCATAATCTGAAATAAAACTCCCTGGTGCAAGTCCGAGAACAGTCCAGTTCCTCTGAATCCCCTGGGAATGAGGCTCCCTTGTGTCCCAAGAGGCAACTGAAACAGTCTAAGTCTTTATTTTCTTCTGGTTCTTTTATGGACTTATTGTTGATCCCACTAAACCATGTCCCCAGGTGTCACATCTACGTGTCTGGCCACACGGATGCTGTGCTTGCACCACTTTGCTGTTCCCTGACTGTGGAATATTAGCACTTTCTCTGGCTTGACACGAGATTTCGTAGTCTCGGGTCCTGCCAGAACAATGCTTTGCTCTAGTTTCTGATGTCAGGTCCGTGTCTCTTAAAAACTGTTTAGTAAATTAGATGACAAGTAGCTTCCATGCAGGTTCCCTCAGAACCCCTTTTCCCTCAGCCCCTGCGTTCTGGAGCAAGGTTTTCACTGCTCCTTTGTGGGATGTAGTTCAAGTCTTTTCTGTCTGATTTGGCCCCTCTTAGTGCCTCTAAAGGTGCATAATTCTGCTGTGAAGTAGTGCTGGAATACCCAAATCGTGTATTGGTGTTGCTCCCAGAAGGGAGGCACAGGTGCTGTGTGCCTTTGGGGCAGTCCCTGCGGAGCTCCCGCCGGAGTTTCCCTGGGATTGTGTTGGCCAGCTCTGTGTCATCAGGAGGAGGCAAGGTGCCATTGTCTGACCCCTTCCTGGTGTTGTGGAAGGGCTCTATTGTTCCTGGCAGTGCCATGCACGTGTTAGTTTTTCATTGCTCTTGCAGACAATAGAGAACTTCTTATCCACAGGCTTCCCTGGAGCTGCAGCATCTCCCCCAGAGTGAGAATCCATTGAGGTTACACGTAATTACTTTGAGATTAGAGGTAAATCCATCGGAGGTTAGGAAGAATCCATCTGAAGGAGAAGTAATTACGGGGCTGTAATTGTTTCCCTCCATCCCCCACCATGCCCCCCCAGCCCAAGAAGGTGGTACAGGGCTCTGTTTCCGTGCGTGGGTCAGAGGGGTTTGTAACGTAACCACAGATATTTAACTCAGTCACACCCCAGTACAGTTTGTGCTAAACTTTGTAGGCAGGAACGTCACCATTTCCTCTTGGGCATTGCCAGGTGAATGTTTTTTCCTCCAAACAGGACTCTGATAATGTGTTTCTGATTTGGGTTTGCAAGTTTTTTGTGTATCGGTAATTCTTTTGTTGCTTTTTGGCACAGCAAAGCCAAAGAAACTGCTGAATTTTTAATAGTGTACTTACATTGCTGTTTGGGATAATTTCTTTCGTTGTTTTGAGAAATCAGGGCCTTATTCCTACCAACTATCCCATTAAATAGCAGTGAAGAAAAGAGCTTTTGCTAACCATCTAAAGTCAGTTTCCTAAGATTGTATAAAGGCTGGCTCTATTCTGACCACTTAGATTTGGGTTGTTTCAAATGTGCAGGCTATTTTAGTTAATCAAAATCTTGCCATTTTAATTCCAGAGTGAATTTTTAATTGGAGCGAAAGGTGGGCCTCTAGTGGTGGCAGGAGAAGTAAATTTAGAAGGTAATTTAGTCTGTCCAGCCTGTGGTTTGAGTCAGAACATAACACCTGCATTGGGAGGACCTGTTTCAATATTTAATGGCTGAGAGCAAGCATTGTATTAAATATCGCTGGAGGTTTGGCCACAGGTGGATCAGTTGTCTCTGTCAGATCGGTCAGTGGCAGCTCAGGCACGAAGGAGAGTTCTTAGCCTAAAAAATATGTATTGCAGGAATCAGGAGTGACATCCTCCTTGAAAGGACTGACTACAGAATGAAAGGTTTTGGGGTGGGGAGTGAAAAATCAAATGAGGCCCTTTCTTGCAGAGGAGGGTGTCCCTGGGAGGGTCAGGCCTGTTTGGCAGGGCAGCGCGTTGAAATGAGGGCGGCATTGTGCCAGCTAAATGAGGGACTGCTGATGCCACCAGGTTGATGTTTGACACAATAGCTCAATCCCTGTCCTTTCTTTCCAAGGAAGTGGGGGGAGAGGAAAACGGGGAAAGAAAAATATATGTACATAAGCACCCTACTGTTTTCTGACTTGGTCATGTCAGGTTTTTTCAAGAGCCTCAAACCTTCCCGTCCCTGGGGAGGCAGAGGAGCTCCGCCGACAGAAAATGGTGGGGATAATGAGAGAGAACTTTGACCCTCAGGCTTCAAAGTTCACCAGAGCTCCCTATTCATCTTGGGCTTCTGGAGCAGAACCGTGGAGGGGATGACTAAAATTCTGGCCGGCAGATTCCACGTCAGCCTCCCCAAAGGGTCACGGGGGAATTTGTTGCGGCATCTCTTGGCTTTTAATGGCAGAATGCCGTGAGCGAGGGCTCCCGGAATGTATCCACCAGGATACCTGCTGGGCAGCACTGCTGCTTTATCTCAGCTTCTCCTGATGAATAGCTGAGCCTGTTTCACCACTGTCTGTCTGCCAGAGGTTGCCATCGTGCCACAGGGCAGCAGGTGACAAAGCTTTGGCTGTGGATGTCCATTTTCTGCTCTTGTATCTTCATCATCATTATCTCTGCCCCTCATTTATGAAAAGAAGAAAGGGGGGAAAAAAAGGCTGAAACCAGCCTTTTTGGTAAGGGCAGTTTACCCCTTTATATATTGTCTGGTTTAGATTTGATTTCAGATAAAAGCACAGTGCTTTTCAAATAAAAGCTTCCTCCTTGTGGGGGAAGAACAGCTTCTTAAATGAGTGAGAAGGAAGGTGTCATGCCCATCTAGAACACACCTGGTACATAAACCCCTTGTGTCTACAGAGCAAGGCTGGTGTTTGCTTGCTGCAGTCTTTAACCTTCCTCCTCACTGGTCTGGGGATTGTAACTGTGATCCAGGGGGAAAAATATATCTTTATTTCCTTGAATGGTGTGCAGATTCACCTGGTCTGCCTGATTCATCCAACAGGAGCCACAATTCCAAACTCTTCCTTAAATGCAGTGCTGGCTGGGTGAGCAGCATGAGCCCCCTTGGAGGGAGCACCAGCAGTGCTGTTCTATCCTCAAATATACTGGATGCTTTGTTTTAAAAAGGCAGCATTTCAGCCCAGTAAGGAGTCAGATCCAAGAGCAGGTTAAACTTTGTGCAGGAGCTTCAACAATAAATTATATGGATGCATCTTCTCAGAAAACCCTAAAAAACCCCAGACCCTGTGAAATTCTTCTAAGACTTCAGGTGTCATTTGAGCTTTCTTTGCTTGGCCATTTCCTCCAGGAAAAGTGGTCTCGGTGAGAAATGGGAGGCTGTTGAGAATGTCCTCTGTGCAGGTATCTGAAGTGTTGTGGCTCCATTCACTTTCCTCAGGTCCCACAATACTCAGTGTTTTTCTCAGGGCTGCAGCTGACATCTTGGGTTGTTATCAGCTCTTACATGATTTTCCCAAATTATTTGGGAACAGAAAGCCTGCTTGCAAATCAAGTATTCCAACTCTCCTCATGTTTCAGAGAGCAGTGTGGTGGCCACTCGGCACTGGGAGCTGGGTCTAGCCTTCCCAGTCAGGAATATCTCCCCCCCAGCCAATCGTTTCAGCTCAGCCTTGTTTCCAGGGCTGCATTACCTCAGGCAGTTCAGTAGCTCCCAAGTGTGTTGTTTGTGTTGCTTGAACAGAAATATTCATGCCCTTACATATTTCTAGAATACCATCCTGTGTGCCTGCCTCCCCCCCCCCCCCCCGGTTTTGCTTCCCAGGAATGTAAAGCTGGATATTAGCTGGCTCTGGAAGCCCTTCTAACTGACCTTTCCTATCAACAGCTAATCCTCAGATTAGGCTTTGGTAAACATAGACTTGGACTGACAAAAAGAGGTGTCCAAGGCCAGGTTGGACAGGGCTTGGAGCAACCTGCTCTAGGGGAAGGGGGTGGAATGAGATGAGCTTTGAGGTCGCTTCCAACCCAAACCGTTCCGTAATTCTGTGTTATTTTTCACATAAGATGTAGCTCTGCCTCCTGAAAGAGTAGTGAGCAAAGCAAATGCCGCAGAGCTACAGTTTGAGTATTGATGAAGATAAATCAGGAGCATGTGTAAGTTTTTATTGTAGTTACTGTTGCATCCATTAACATGCCTAAAACATTGGTTAGGATAGAAAAAATGAATGATAGGCACAGTTACAAAATCTGTGTATAGTAATTGCTGATTACCATGATGGTGATGAGATGGTGATCTTAGTACTCACCACAACTTGCATTCTTCCTGGAAGCCTTTTCCTCAAAGCCGTATTCAGAGCAACATTCTGCTTTCTAACAGTATTACTGACATTTCCCAGAGCTTTCCTTTCTTAATTATTACATGTTTTGTTTATATATGATTTATGTGGCTTCTAGCAATAAGTAGAGGATAACCAACCTTTATAGAAAAAATAGGTGCTAATCAAGCTGCTGTCACTTTTTTTGGGGTAAAGATACCAAACATGAAACAGCAGAAGAGACATCTATGAAGTGGTGTGGCTGTACAGATCGCTCCGTCCCGTTAGAACTTCCTGGCAAGCTTCTTTATTATCTTCATGGGAAAGATGTAATGGAGTGAAGATCAACTTGGGAGAAAAATGTAAAACTGAAGATCTTAGAATCACAGAATCTCCTGAGTTGGGAGGGACCTACAAGGTTCGTCCGTTCTAGCTCTCATTCCCAGTCTGTCTGTACATCCAGGGTTGTCCCATCCCAGGTGCAGAATCCAGCACTTGTCTTTGTTAAACTTCATGGGGTTGGTGATGGCCCATCTCTGATGTGCTGAGGTCTCTCTGCCCTGGAGGGAGCCGACAGTCAGTAATGTGGCAACCACAGCACTGCTGTGGCAGAGCTGTGCAAACTTGGAGCAAACGCACATTTCAGTGTCATATCCGTCTGCTCTCTCTTCAGAAA